AGGATATTTCATTTGAGTCCTCCCCACACTACAGAAGCACAAGAAGAAAGCTTCTCCTGCAATCTGTCCCCTGTCTGTCCTTAACAAGGTCTCCCACAGTGAGCCACTCGGATTTTGTGTTATCCCAAGCAACTGCCTGAGGACAAATGGATGTCAGAAGGGATGATAAGAGCAAGCACATACTTCCTAGGCCAGGGCTTATGTTACTGTGCTCCTGTGAGAGCGATGAAGTTATAATACACACCACACTCCAGCAAAGTTCCCGTTCGGAAATCTGCTTAATAACAGTACCAGTCGCTCTCATACTGCCCTGACAAACCACGATCCATTGGCCTCCTGACAAAGAGCTTGACAAACCATGCAATCAACAGCCCAGCATAATTTTCAAAAAATACAAATGAGCAAATATCTAGTTGTCATGGTAACCCCAAGAGCCAGACTAGACTATTTTGCAGATTACCAAATACAGCTACATTTTGCCAACGCAGCAGGAGCGCGGCATCTGGGACCTCATTTGGGGACAGCAACCAGGTACTGCCAAAGAGCATCAGCTCTTTCGGCAATCTGCCCAAAAAACCTCCACCCTCACTAACTGATTCCAGGGGATTCATGTTCATGGTTGTGATGCATTTCTCTCTCATGTCACCTGTGCTTTGGCTTTGTCGCCTTCAGGGCTGACAGGTTTTAAGAGCAGAAACTATAGTGGGAATTGAGCTCTCCTTAGATCTTTGCTTTACTTCTGATCAGCAGTGTCTCTGGCAATTTATACACAGGAATGAAAGTTTCCAGCCAAGTTACCAAGGCCCTGCAAAGCAAAAGCAGTTAATAAAAAAAGGATACCATCCTTTTTAGGTGGCTGTGCCACAGAGCCCTGCGCCAAAAGGGGAACAGGCTGTTTACCCACGGCCAGTGCTCCTCACCAGGTTTTCTCAGGAAGCCTGGAAATTCTTGGCCACAAAAGAGGGGGAGACCTTTTGGGGTATCGATAAGGAGCAATCTACAACAAAATGGACCCTGGTGCTGACATGATGCAGACCCTGTGCTGAGCCAAGCCCGTCCTGGGGTCCCCCAGGCTGGAGGAGTCCCCAGCGGCAATGACCCTCTCCAGGGGGAACCGGTGCTGCTTGAAGTTTCACTGAGCTTTTGTAATTAATTTCACACACCAGCAGCTCGCACAGTTTACAAATCAACCTTCAATCACCCCTCTGGCCCTTCTCTTGACAGCCATGTCAGCCAAACCCCCAGCCCGCCCGCCCGAGGGATGGCTGGGCTCAGCTGTGCCCAGGAGATGCATTTCCCAGCCGGTTTGTCACCGCTGGCTCCACCAACCAGCTCATTCCCCAGCAGCAGAAGGGAGCAGCTGGTGTGAGGTGGGATTGAAAAACCCTCCTGCAGATCAGGAGGAACATCTTGGTTAGGCCAGTATCTGCTGGGACCTGCACAGCACAGGGACAAATCCTGCTCATCTTCCTCATGCCCTGCTGGTCCCTCTCTCCCTGGTGTGCACATTTGGGATGCGCTGAAGCTGGAGGGTTCAATGCTAACACCATCACACAGATAAGTAACATCATTTAGCATACAATTTTGTGGTTTGGGGTTTTTTTTTGTGATGGACCTCACTGCCACAGCCAGTAAATGTCTATAATTTACTCATTGAGCTGCTGGAAGTCTTTTTTTTGGCCCTGAGATATTTTTGTTCCCCGTCAAAGGGAGCTGCTCTGTAGCATCTTTGCCCCTGGGGCAGGAGCTGTGCCGCTACTCCGGCAATTAAAACCAAGGGAAAATGGGGGGAGGGCAGAGAGATGCATGAGAAAAAGCTCACGATTCATCTGTGCAGGCCTTATCCTGCCAATAATTTTCAAGGGAAAAAAATCTTACCAAACTAAGAGAGGAAAGGGCAGTTTAGTCCAGCCCAGCCAGCCATCTGAGCAGTCGAGATTAAAAATCAGGGAGAAAAATCATCATGAGGCTGCCTGCACCCGGGCAGGCTGCTGCTGGCTGGCATCACCAGCGTGCCTGGGTAAGCTGCTGGCAGAACAGCACTTGTCTTTGCAGCTCCTGTCCCTGCACATCCAGCAGCATATTTCAAGAAACAAAGAATAATGATAGTAGGGAAAAAAAAGGAATCAGAATGCAAATGGTCCAGGCAGGCCCATGTCTCCCACCTGCCGTGCCAGGGCCACTCTCTGCCTGTGGTGGGCACAATATTGTCTCTACAGACCAAGAAATGGAGTGAAGGAGGGTAAAGGCATTTGTCACCAATAGACAATTATTTTTGTTCACTCCCAGGCTGTATCCCACACTGCTCATGCTTACCCCAGCTTTCATACATTAAAAGGAAAATGTTCAGCTCCTAAAAATCTCAGTGACATAAAAGGACCCTCGGGCATCAGTCCTTTGCAAGTGATGTGCAGGAGAGTGGTGGGGGAGTCCTGCCTGCATCATATGGCAAGTCAGCACAGAGAAACTGAAGGTAACAGGGGAGTTAGGGGTTATGGGACAAGGAGTACAGAAAAACAAAACAAAAAAATTCAGACCCAAGAGCTGGAGTTCCTTCCAGCAACCCAAAGTCTGAGACCGTCTGTGCCAAGGGAGAGGGCATGTCCCATCTTCCATCAAGCACTGACCTCTCCAGATTCACTAGAAGTTCATTAAGGAGGTGAAAACTCCTGTCATTTTCTGAATCTGATTTGATTACCGTGAAACAGAAGACACTAGCAAGGAGAGAGGGTTGTTTTTTAAGTAAGGACCTTAGAGCCTGGGGAGAAAGTTGGGGGGGTTGCAAAACAAAGCCCCTATTAACTTTGGTCCTGACTTCCAGGTCACACATGTTCAGTTCTTTTTACCTGGAAATTAAGATGTTAATTGGAGCTGACAGCTTTCATACATTTTCCCCATTAGCAATATTTTTAGCCACAGTAGGGCCAAAGTCTTCAAACGCTTTCCCAAGGGAAGGTTTTAACCTTTCTTTTGAAACATCTCATGCCACTTGCATGGAAAAAAGTATTTTTGGCTTGAGGCATACTGAGCCCCAGCCGTGATGAACTCCCAGCTCCTCTGCACAGGGGACACAGGAGGAACGGGGCACTGTGTGGCAGCATCCCCCAGAGGGGCGGCCACCCCTCCCGCACCCCGACCCTCCCATCCGGGCGGTGGGCTCTGGGCACAGCCGAGCCCAGGGGGTGTCTGCAGGGTGTGCTGCGCTGGTCCCCCGTGGTGCAGCTCATCTCCAGCACGGAGACCACACTGCAGCGCCGGCGCTCAGGGCCAGGAGTCAGTCAGACACGTCCTGTGCCACGCGGGTGCCCAACCCTGCCGGCCCCGTGCCAGCAGCGGGCACAGGACCCACCCGTGGGTGACCTCTGGGGCAGCGATCAAAATGGTTTCCCAAGTCCTTCTTCTGCCACAGATTAGAGCCTACATGTCAACATTTTCTTAGCTTGGTGGAGCCACGAATACTTTTATTTACAGCTGGTTCTTTACATACTGTTATCATCTGTATGTAATTTATTGTTTTCAGATGAAGCAAAAGCCTCGAGAAACTCAATGCTGTCTCCTACCTAGGACTGAAAACTATTGCTTACTTTCCATATATTTATATGGATAGTGTGTGTATATATCTATATAATCCATTTAAAATATTTTATTAATATTATCCATTTATACTTTTTATATATATTAAAAAACATAATTGGGGGTGACAGTATTTCCTTATTTTAGAAATCTGCTCCAACACACATGTTCCACTTACAACACCACCATTACCCCCACCGAGTTTTGCTGTTTCTCTCCAAGTGGAAATGTATTTTAGCTGAAAGCTGTGCTGACACCTCCCAACAGAGCCTCAGTTATTTACCTCAGAGCCTCAGTTATTTACCTCATTGTATCCAGTGTAATGGCTCTGGAAATTCTTAGTTTTGAAATTTGTTTCTAAGATGGTGACATCAAGGGAGACCAGACAATTTTATGAGGATGCTTTTACTCATCTTTGCAGGCAGTGGCTGAGATGGGGCAGCCCAGGGCTGTCCTAACTGCTTTGGTGCTGTGAGACCCTAGGGCTTTGCTGAACAGGGACAAAAGGGACATATCACTCCCAAGAGAGGGCAAGTGACTGGAGGGGGAGGAAGCCCCCTCTGCATCGGGCTTCTGGTGAAGCCACCCAGATGCCACAGGGCTTTGTGGGACCAGAGGTCACACTGCAGGGGCTCTCCAGGGAGCCCTGGATTTATTGCATTTGACTGGGTCCTGTAGTGCCCTTGCAGCCACGTCCCCTGCAGGATAAGCAAACTTTTGCCTTGATATCACTTCCCTTCCTTAGGCCCTGGCACCATCACAGTCCCATCTGCACCCAAGCCCTGCAAATTCACCCACATGCAAGGGGGAGTTCTGTCTCCCCACTAAACAACTCAAGGCACACTGGAGCTGCTACAACCACACATACCTCCCCAGAAATTATTTACCTGGAAGATAAAAGTACCTCTGTGACACCAGCACAGAACAGGAAGACATCAGCAACAACTGCAGGAAAAAAGCATCATCTGGCTAGGAAATAAATGTTGCACCAAAAGCTGCAAGCTCTCCGCACTCAGGAAAGGTTTGTGAGGGTAGGCTGGCCCTCAGGTGGTGCACATCAGCCCTTCACCCACCTTCCTTGTAATTTGGTCAGCCCAAAGCAGCCAGGGCTAAACCCTGCTCACCTGCTGTGCGTAGGGATGTTGTGAAGGTAGGTGGGGTGCCGAGTAGCCCCATGCCCCCCAAGCAGTGATGCTGTGTGGCTGGTGGGGGCTGGGCGGAGGGCAGGGAGTGCATACAGGCTGCCCCAGGGACCCCAAAAACCAGTCAGAGTCAATAAAATAAACTTTCCCAGGCATCTGTTTCTCCCTAGTGCACCATTTTAATACAGACCAGACTGGGGTAAAACCAGCTCCTTTCACATGAGACCCCATGTCCCCGGGGAGTTGCTGCTACTCGAGTGCTAGAAAGATGAAGGAGCCTCCACCTGCTGTTTGCCATTTATTTTAGTGGAGAGAAAAATAACACACACAAGAGGCATTTTGCATAACTTAACAGAAAATAACACTTTTCCTCCACTCTTTGCAGATCAACAAGCAAAATCATTTCCTACACACGGTTATTTTTTGGTGCTAACAGTTTGGTGTGTTAGTAAAATCATGGGTTTCCTCTAATATACTGCGATAGTTGATCTGAAACCCAAAGCCAGGCTCAGGCTTGGGGGCCTCCTTCACTCTTTAACACAGCTCCCATTGCCATTTGCCCATGGGGAGGGTGAGTGCCGGGTTCATCCCCACGGCACTTCCAGGAGGGGTTTTGCAGCCGGGGTCTGGCTTGGGATGCCGAACAGCTCCACAGCTCTCACCACCCGTGCTACGTCCTGGTTGCTCTTCCCTGGCATGGCTGGAGAGGTGACCCAAAATGAAGGGGTGTGGGCAGTGCCAGCAGCCTCAGTCCAGGGCCAGTGAGGGAATCTTGCAGACGAAGGGGAAGGCTCTGCCACAGGCGTTGTCATTCCAGGAGCGCAGTGCTACCCCCCGCCCCCCAAAAAAAAAAAAAAAAAAAGGCATTAGCTGACACAAGGAATGAGGAGGTAACCATGCACTGCCCTCAGGACAGGGACCTTCTGCCACTGCAGGAGGCTTTCCCTGAATGTCCTCCCATTTGGGCTGCTCCCAGCCCCCCTCCCATCCCCGTCCTCATCCTGGGGATGCTGGTAGGGATGCTTAGCCCCAGCTCAAACATGGGCGCAGCAAGGCAGCTGCAAACACAGCCCTGTACCACACAGAATATCATCAGGTCACACGTGGACAGGGCATTTAGGTACGTCCGCAAGGTCTGGATACACCTGACTGGACTCACTAGAAATGAGGTTGTGAGGTTGGATTTTGCACAAGGAGGGTCTTGACTCGCTTCAGTGAGATGTCCCTGGCCTGAGCAAGGGAGGGAAAAGCTGGCAAACTGAGAGGTGTTTCCACAGGCTGCATGTGGGAGGGGAAACTGGAAACTTTGACCTTTAGCTAAATTCAGTAATTCTTTCAAGTGAGTGATGCTCCCCTCCTGCTGCTGCTATGGAACAGGGAGATGGGCTGTGAGCAGAGGGAAAGCAAGTGTGTGTGTGCACATGTACATGGTAAAATAGAAAATGCATCTTTTCTCTGCAAAGAAAAAAGAAAATAATAAAAAATTAATATGCAAACCCTCAACCTGCCAGTAACCTCTTCAGAAAAGCACAAGCCGCAGTGGCTTGAATTTAATGACATACAGCTAAGACTTAAGGTGGCCTCGATGTCCGGCGCGGCACTCACCGCTGCTGTGCCTGTACCAGATCTGCACACAGTCCTCCTCCTCCGGGATGGAGTGGATCCCGTCGTCGGGCTGACTGCCATCCCAGTAGTGGTAGTCATAGGAGGAGCCGTCCGTCCACTCGAAGTGACCCTCCTGGCATGGGGTGAGCAGAGAAAGGCCACGATCACAGAGCCGTGTTTGCAGAGGGTGGGTGTCCCGCTCCCATGGAGATCCCGTCCCCATCCCTGGTGCCACACAGCCCAGGGACACAGGGGGAGACTGTCACTACTCAACAAAGACCAGCAGCATGTCTGGGTTCTACAACTGAAAACTTCCACTGAAAAGCCCCAGCATTCGTGCCAAGGGAAGCCCAGAAATTAAACCCATATATTTTTTAACACACACCCGCAATTCTGTGTTCCTTTTCGATTTTTTCTTTTCCATTCCTTTCCCAGTAACTACAAACAATTTGCTGGCATGGGACTGTTCTCCTGATGGTCTTGATTTTTCTTTATTACATATTAGACTACATATTTCCAACACATCATCTTTGAAAAGTTGCAGAGTATCACAAGAAAGCAATGAAACTTGGTGATTTTTGATGTTGGAGACTTTTTCAGTTTATTTGCTCTTCTTGGAGCAGTAGTACAATACTCTTTCAATTAAACCATTAATAAAATATGATGTGAGTAATTAGTAATTATTAATCAATTCATTCTAGTCACTGCTCTTTTGTGAAGCAGACTGGAGGGGACGAAATGACAACTTTCCCCCATGTGCTGCAGAACAGAGCCTGTGCCACCACCTGATCATTGGGGCTATAAGGAGTGAAGAGGAAAACCAAGTGGCTTTCCAGGGGGAAAACACAGGGAAGTGAATTTTTCAAAGCCATTTCCCACATGATTATGGGGAGCTCTCACCTGCCGCAGGTCGTTGAGCCCTGTCCAGATGTCAGTGGGGATGCCTGGCACGCGGCTGTTCACCAGGTCGTATACGAAGACGTTTTCTTCCCAGCTGGCAAAACAGCAATATGGAGACACTGAGGGGGTATATCAGGCAAATGGTCAGGCATGCCCCTAAGCATTCACCCTACGGCATGGCCAAATGGGTCCCCCTCATCTAATTGCTGTTAATTACTTTCCTAGGTCTGTGAAAGAGGTGTCATTGGGGTGAGAGCAGGGGGAGAGGGAGTGGGGGAAAAAACCTGTGTAATCATGTTATATTTCTATCCCTTTTTCAAGAGCAAAAAATACAGTTTTGAGAAATTTAGGGAATACTATGTCAGCTTTCCTGCCAGACCAGGAAAAGGCATTTTTCACATCACCTTTGTGTGCCCAGTGCATCAGACTTGACTCAGTTGCTGCTGCAGACAGATGCTTAGGCTGGTGCAGAGGGATGCTTATGCTGGGACATGAGCCCACAGCTGCCGCAGAGGTTGTGCTGTGGGAATGGGACTTCATCCCCGTTTTCCTTCTTCCCCAGGCCATGCCAAGTTTATGTGCCCCTCACCTGTGGATGGAGGCCAGCTTGGCTGATCTGATGCCAATGGAGAACTCGGCACAATAGAGGTCAGCTTCAGCCCAGGTTTTGTTGATGGGGAAGTACCGGTAGCAGTGGCCTTCGTATTCTGTCCAGAAGAGCGGGCAGGAGTAGGCGTGGACGGGCTCTGGCATGGCTGGGGGCAGAGCAGAGGACATCCACCAGCTGATGGGGAAGCAGCGTGGCCGGGCAGCTGAGCAGGCAGTGGAAGCAGCAGTGCCCAGCCCTGCTCCCCCCACCTCACCCAGGCAAATAACCACCAAACACACGCATGGGAAAAACAACTGTTGCAGAAACTGTGCCAAAGCCAAAACAAATTTGCAAAAGCCATGGGTTTCTTGGTTTTAGCATCTGTTTAAATCAGGAGGGACATTTCAAGCCAGTTTGATGTCATTCTAGGCAGAGGGTGCTTAAAATAAAGGCACTAACGTTTGCTACTGGGGAAACCAAGATAAGGGTACCTCTTGCCTCTATCAGGCACTACCAGAGTCGCCGTGCTGGGAGCTGATACCGCGGGCTGCAGGGTTATGGCCACAATCTGCCCTCCTGCTCTTGCCTCCTGCAAGGCCAACTTGCATCTCCTCCCCCCGAGCAAAGCCCCCCACCATCCGCTGTGTCCCTGGGCCTGGACACAGCCGTGCACATCTGCACGTGTTGGATTCCAGCCCCATAAATAGCTGGGCAAGGCCCGGGAGCGGTGCCAGCCTATCTGCCTCCCGCTGCCAGATAAGAGCTGGGGCCCACCAAGCTGCTCCTCCTCCCTCACCACTTTTCAGCACAGCAGGGAAGTCACCCCAAGAGAGGCCATTTAGGGGCAGGATGCATTTCTGGAGCCTTTGCAGTTGCCGCTGTGTAAACACTGCAGCGGCGTTAACACACCCTCTGACCTCCTCCGGGTCAGTGGGGAGGATGCAGCACACACACAACACACCACCCAACACAAATGCACACATAACCCCCCAATCTTGTGGAACATAGGCTTAACCCTCTTAGCTGTGGGGTTGTGAGCCTTGGGAAATTTCCGGCTCACCCAGAGCCAGTTCTCACATCCCCATGGGGTCCTGGTCCAGGGTCGGTGCTGCTGTCGGAGTGAGAGAGGAGGCAGGCAGGGCTGGGGGGAGAGTGGGCTATGGCAGACATCAGATGCCATGAAACTATCCAAGCAGGTAACAGGCTCAAGCCCAGAGAGGTCAGGGTGATGGTACAGAGCCTCCTGTACACCAGGGCTGGAGGGGACAACCTCCAGGCTGGAGGGGAATGGCTTTCCCCGAGGATGCAGAGAGCAAAGCCCTGCCAGCAGCAGCGTGAGACATGGGAGCAGAGAGGGCAGCATCGGTGTTGGGGAAAGGAGAGGCAAGGTGAATTCAAAGCAGCTGCAGAAGCATTCATGGAGCCGAATCCTTCCCTGCACCAGTGCTGGCAGCTCCAGGCAATAATTTCATATTTCATCAGCTCTTTCCACATGGGGATCTCTGAGTGTTTTACAAACAGCCATCAGTCAGGCCCTGAGTCCCTCCTGTCAGACACCCCCTTCCAAGGTGACAAACCACAAATGCAAAGAGCCTTTTTTTCCTCCCAAGCAAGGCACAGAGGCAAAGCTGACTGCTGAGCCCCATGGGGCTGTCAGCCCATCACCCCACCTCGGGACCCCTGGCCAAGCCCTCCAGAAGAGCTGTGGCTGGGACCAGCTCTGGACCCCACAGGAACAAACCTGAGAGCAGTAAGGGGCTTGAGGAGCTCTCCCATCCTCACCAACACTAGTTATGGGCTGCAGAGGCACACCAGGCTGGAAACACAGCTTTAGGGGAGGGTGGCCAAGCTGCAGCCAGCCCAGTGGCAATGCAGGTTTCAGCTCTCTGATTCACACCTGGCCATCCTTGCATTGGGAAAAACCTTAGAACAGCCCTGGGAAATGCGAATTATTCTATTGTAGCAATAGATCGGCAGGACCAGGAACACTGAGAGCTGAGATCTGCTCTGGCACATCTACCCTTTTCCTAGGACCCAAGCTCTCCTCCCCCTGTGATGCTGGCCAGGGGTCCCTGTCTCCCCACCAAAAGTGGAGCAGAGCAAGGGCAGCAGGTCAAACTCTTGGGAGGAGGCTTCAGCTTCACTGCTGGGTCAGAGATGAGACACGTCACCTATTCAGGACAGGGCTGGGGGTCTGCTCCCGGTTCACAGCAAGTCCAGATTGCTGCTCCCTCCTGCTGAGGGCACCCCGGGTCTCAGTGGCAGACAGGCACTCCCTGCTCCCCCAGCTCCCCCTGATCCCCCAGCAACTGGGATTTTATTATAAAGGCTGTGAGGCACTGCTACAAATTCTTCACCTCTAGCAGCATGGTGGCAAAATTCACAGGGCTTAACCCAGCAGCATCCCCAGCAAATGGGGCCCTTCGCTCCCAAGTGCTAATTGCAGTGGGCATCCTGGTGCCCTGGCTCCAAGCCGGGTCTGTCAGCACCCTGATCGCCTGGGAAAATCACCCTCGTTTTGTTCAGAGCAGCCGAAACAGAGTCAGAGATGGAGACAGTCCTTCTTTGTTATTCCATACTGCTTCCCATTAGGTAGAATTAATTTGACGAGCTTCAGTGAACCAGAGGTGCCTGAAGGAATTTAAGGTTAAATATACCGAAAAGGAAAATATGGGAGGTCAGCATTTAATTAGCATCTTTCCTGTTAGGTCAGGATCAGAGGCTTTGGCTGTCTCTTTGGGGAAGAACTATCGGTCCCAGTTTTAGAGGCAGGAACAATTGGGGGTGCTGCTCTATCTGGGGTCTTTGGGGGGTGTTTTTAACAGAAAAGCCATAAGAAATTGGATGTATGCTTGTGAATATCAGTGTCCACTCATGGCTCTGCAGGAAAACCTCATAACCGAAGCCAGCAGCTGCTGGTGGTATTTTGTTCTAAAAGGGGACATGGGAAGCATTTTGGGGCTATATAGACCAGATCCTCACTTTTAAGCACTCCAGCAAAACATCACCCCAGCAGGTCCTGTGCACAGGGCAGGAGCAGCATAGCCACTGCCTGCTGTTACTAATTCAGAAAAGCTGGAAAACAAGAATTTTGGATCAGAAAAAGAGTTTTGTGCTCGCTGGATGTGTCAATGCCCACAAAACTGGAGTCTTTTTATTTATTTACTAGCTGAGACCCACTGCAGAACCACCAGGAAAATCACTTGTCAAAATCTTGCGGAAGCTGGCACTGGTCTGCCAAAAAGTTTCACTTCCCCAAGTGGCCACTTTCCAATTAGAAATAATTAACTGGGAAAATCCCATCCAGTTTCACAAGTTTGTTTGTTTGTTTGTTTGTTTTTAATTCCAGTATGCTACTGAAAAAGATAAAATACCAACTATGTGAGTGCCACTGTCTCAGCTGGTGAAAAGCAAGTTTGTTTCCTGAACAGCTTCATCCCAAGGTGCAATGCTGCCTCACTTCCATTGATCCACAGATTTGAGATACAAAGCTGGGGCTAGGACAAGGTTGGCTGGAGATGTCTGTGCAGGGAAGACTCCTGGGGGGCTGCAGCTCCATCAAAGGGTTTTGGACAGCAGATCGGATCAGGTCAGTGGTGACAGCAGATGCTCTTCTGAAGAGCTCTGTTTTATCAACAGCTGACAACTTACCAAAATCCTTAGAAATGTTAGGAGACACTTCACTGAAAGGCATGGTCCTGAAACACCCCCCCTTGGCACATCCAGCAGCTAATGCTGCCATCTGACCTGAAAAAGCAAGTGAACTTCTTCAGCTCTTGGCAAGCGGCTGGGTTTGGAGGGAGTCCATCAACACCCAACAAGCTTGTCTGAAGTTAGTGCCAATGGAGAAGAGCTGAGGAGATGTCTGTCACGTGGAAAGTTGGGTCCTTCCCAGGGGAGCCCCTCCGCTGGGACCCGAGGGCTGTGGTGCAGAGAGGGAGGGATGAGGAGTGCTCCCCAGCTGGGGGGCAGAGCTGGGGCTCAGGACAAGCATCCTGGTGCTCACCAGCACCGAGCTACCTCTCACCAGCTTGAGACCATGGGGAGGGCCAGCAGCAGGGCTTTACCCTGTGTTGGCACTGCTGGGGCAGTGGGAAGTTATAGGGGATGGGTGAGACAACAGGGCTGGGACAGGGGAGCCCCAGGACTGCTCTGGCAGAAGCCTGCAGCAAGGCTGGGGTGTTCAAAGTGCCAGCTGAGCCAGACCTCCATCCTACCACAGCCTCAACACATCCACTAGCCCACATACTCTTTATTGAATAAAACCAAAGAATAAACATTAAAACAGGGGTTTGGTGGGCAGGAGCGTGTGGCAGGGGCTAAGACAATGTTATCGCGTGATGCTGGGACCTCAGGTCACCCGTGGCTTTAGGAGCACATCCTAAAGCCCTCACACTACAGTCATCACGGACAAACAATCCCACCTTCATGTTATTTGCAATATTTGTCTTTCATTAACAGATGAAAAAGTCTCATGCCTAGTGTCCACCTTCAAAACAAGTAGATCAGGAGATGGTGTTTGGTCTGTGTGTCTGGGGACACACGGAGCTGGAGGAGATGGTACCCACTGATGGATATGAAGCTCAGTTTATAACTGGGCAATATTTTGCACCCTCTGAAGTGTTTTTTAAGGTGCATATTACAAATTTCCAAGTAAAATACTAAACACTGGTTGGAGCACATTGGAAACAACATCCTTTCACACAGAGGATTTTGCTTTTTAAAATGAAACCAAGCTGGTTTTACAGCTTCAAATCTTCTGCCAGGTATGTTTGGAGATGTGAGGCTACCACAGACGCCAGCAGCAGCCCTCCTGCAGCCAGCACTAACAGATAGGAGTTATCTTGCAGAGTTTTTTTCCTTCTTAATTAGTTTGGGTGAAGTTCCCATGGATTAGGCGTCTGGCAGGAAAACTGGGCTCATATCGATCCTTTTTGTCACAAACTCACTGAATAGCACTTAAGGAGCCCCTTTCTGTTCACATTCCCATGCAAATCTAACAGGGTGTGAACAAACTCAAAGTAGCGACTCTCACTTGCACCAGCACCAGTTTGAGAGAAACTTAAGTGACATATAGCAGTCACCATCACCAACAACTCAGAAAAAAAGAAAGGGGAAATAAGGGGGAATCACATATTTGTGGTCACGTTTCATGTGCACTGTGTGAATAAATAAATGGGGAGGCACAGTGGCCCCCCAGCCTGTCCTGCCAGGCCATGTGGCTGCAGTCCTGCACCACCCATGCACGTACCTCTGTGTTTTTCCTGCCCCCGCCATCCCCAGGGTGGGGACAGCTGAAGCTCCGCGGCACCGTGCCACAGCAGCACACATTGCTGAGGGCAAAGCACAGCCTCTTACACACAGGAACAAAGCCAGCCCAGAGACAGCGTCAGTATCCCGGCAGAGACCGACCGGGGCTGCTCTTGGCACGTCCCCCCAGCGAAGAAGAAAGTTGATTTTATGGAAAGCCAGAGATTTCTGGAGCAGTCAGGAAAGGGGAAAGCCAGCTGCTGACCCTGCAGGAGGTATATGCAGTCTCTCCTCTCCCTGCTAACGCCATCGCAGTTTGTTACCTTTACCCCAAGCCGCAATCGATGCTTCGCACTCACCTTGGCTGATCTTGATGTTTGTCTGGGGGAAAGCCTGGGCAGCCAGCAACGCCGCGGAGAGGAGCGTGCACACCTCCCAGGCAGTGCCCATTGCCAGGGAGGGGGGACCGGGCGCTCCCCCAGCTCCACGGGCAGCCGGTTGCAGAGGTCGATGCTCGGTCCGGGACCTCCCAGCTGTGCCAGGGAGGCTGCCGGCGAGGCGGTGGATATAGGATCTGTGCTGCTCCCTCCCCCAAAAGCAGCAGCTCTCCCAGACACACACGCCTCCCCACCCACCCCTGCCTGAGCCTGGGCGTGCTCGTTGCATCCCACCCCAAGGGACCTGCACCCAGATCTTTGCCCATGGCCTTGCTCTGGGGAGCAGGGGTGCACATCTCCTCCCAGAGAACTTTTGACACATTCCCCAAGTTGCAGACAAGCAAGGAAAACCCTTATCTGCCCCCTCCATCCCCCAAATCGCTTCCCAAGACATTATTTTATGACCCCAGTTTAGCTCTGCCCAGCTGTGCTGTGCTGGCCACCTTGCCCTGCAGGGATGCTGGGGGGCATTAGCAGCCAGGCACAGAGGGGAGCTCAGGGCAGACCTTCAACTTCGGGTGCCTGAAAAATGAGCCCCTTCTGCCTGCTGGGCAAGGCCAGCAGCCCTTTAAACACCAGGCAGAGTGCACAGCTGGGAGGTGAGGGCTGTGTTAACACAGGGGTGCCCAAGGCTGCAGGGGAGCAGTGCCTTGTGCCAGCCTTTGTGCAGCCTCTAGTTGTGGGGTTTAATCCATGACTGCCCCATTTTGTGCTTGCCTTTTTTTTTTTTTTTTTAAAACAAGGTTAAGACAATGCTTTGACACACTAAAACAGCCTGGAAGGGAAAACCAGCAGCTGTGCCAGGGGGCCCAAGGCTGCTTCAGGAACTCACACTATGCCCATCTGAGAGGTCCGTGCTGGGTTCATGCAGTCCTGTAACAGCAGAAAACCTTCAGCACCAGGCAGCAGTCAATATTGTTAACAGTCAGTATTATTTAGCACATCTCCTTTCTGTGGTCAAATTTATTTTTTTTTAAATAAACTTCAGATTTTTTAAAATGTTGTATAAAGTCCTTTTCTAGCTGTTGCCCTGGTAAGTAAAACAGTACAGGCACAAATACTATGAAATTTTGTGGTCCTGCTCCATTTCCAATTTATACATTAAATCAGCATTGAATGAACTGCTTAGGAACACACCCTTTTTATTCTTAGCTACAGATTAAAATGTTCTGGGACTTATCTGGGATGACCTGTTCTAGCAGGCGAGATTCAAGTAGAAAAAAATTGGGGTGACACAAAGCTTTCAGTATAACAAAGCATACAGACTTACTCCAGAGACAGTAACTCATCCAATCAGCTTTCATATTGTAAATTTTCTTTGCGTTAAATAACAACTTTTACAAAAACTTCCCCCATCTGCAGTTCAATACATTGGTCTGAAACTATATGGCTCAATAAAAAGCCTACTGATGTATGAGACCACTAAGAATGAAGTAGTTCAGAGTATTAGAAGCCAAGGCATACCTTCTTCCTTCTTAATTGTGTGCCATCCCCAGATAAAGCCAGTGGTATAAGCAATTATTAGCAAGCTATGGAGTAAAACTCTTTGAGCATGTTAATTTACTCCGAAAGCACAAATGTTGAATGCTTAAAGAGGGAAAATAGATCCAGAATAACTTTAATCCTGTTTCTAATGCCAGACCCCCTGCAGCAGCATCCTCCCCAGTGCAGGCAGGAGTGCCAAGCCCCTGTGCTGCCCCCGAGCTGGCACAGCACCTGGGCACCAGATCTGCTCCCAGCACTGGAAAAGTACACCACATCCTGCACACAGAGCCGGCTGGAGTTGCCGCTGCTACTTTGCGCTACCTTCTGATTTCACAAAACACGAGATATGTTTTACCTGCTGGATGCAGCCCCGGGAGCACAGACACATCTTGTGTATTCAGCCCTTCTGCTCCTCTCCCTCCCCATGCTGTTTTCTGGTTGCCCTCTGGGTCAAGAGCTCCTCAGTGTGCTTCCATCCTGCTTTTACTGACCTTTCTTCAGGGTTCCCTCACCGATTTTTGGCATCATCTGTACATGACACTCTCTTCCCTGTGAAACAGATGCCTCATGGCTCCAAGGACAGACTCACAGGCGAGTGCCTTCTGTTGACGTGTCATCTCCAGTGCTTGAGCAACACATGTAGCAGGTCTCAGGTCAGCTTCTGCAGATGCCCAGAGCTCATGCTGCTGCCCAGAGACATCACTGCAAGAATATTAATGGCAATGGCAGTAACTGCTGAAACCACAGCTCCTTGTCTGAGCCTTTTTGACTTACAGGAAGAGATCAGCATCCTACAGCACATGGCATCCCTCTCCACCTTGATTTATTGATGATACAAACCAGGAGGAAGCCAGAGAACAGAGTTTTGCTGTTGACCTCACTGTGGGACAGAGAAGGAATTTCACCTTGCAAAGAGGCAGGCTAAAATTGAAACCCACCATCCATAACACGCTTGGAAAGAGGATGCCCATGGACAGCCGACACAGCCTCTGTGCTGGAGGGCAGCAGGGGGCTGTGTGCAGGGTGGTCAGTGAGAAGTGAAGGCGTTCCCTGGGGGACAGCGTGCACAACTACGCCAACAAGGTAAGTGTCTGCTTGTGTTCACCCACAGCCACAGCAACTGGGCAATGGTTCAGCAACAAGGTCACCAAGGCCTTTTTTTGCCATCCTCTATCCAAAGTCATGCTGTGCTCTGCCCAGGAGCAGGGTGTCTACACTGTCACTGCCCCAGCTACTGAGAGATGGCTTCTGGATGCAGAGGGGAGACAGTATCTCTTGTAGCCTCCTTGTATTCATTCATTGCATTTCCTCCTCCACGATAGCAGCGTCACTGTGTCAGACTTAGCTGTCACATGAAGAACATGCACAGGGATGCTCTGAGCACAGAAGGGAATGAAACACCCATGTCTCACTGTAAATGAGAGCAGGTCCTAGACCGAAGGCGTGCTGCAGGGATGCCGGTACCAGAGGCACAACACAAACTGTCACACTACAGCACAAACACCCTGGACAGCAGCAAGGACTATTGACCAATACTCCGACACCTGCCCAAATAAGCACTAAGCTTTTTTTTCGCCCCCCCCCC